GGGCGGCTGAGGTGAGGAGGAGTCCGACCAGGGAGACCGCATGGCAGCCTTCCGGTGTCTGAGGGGGCCTACCAGGGTGCCGAGAGGGGCTCTTCGTCAGGGACTGCTGACATGGGACACGGGTTCAAACAGGGCAGGTTCAGGTTAGATACTAGGCAGAAGTTCTTCACTGTGGGGGTGCTGCGGTGCTGGCAGAGGCTGGCCCGGGGGGGCCTGTCAGCGTTCAAGGCTACATCGGACAGAGCCTTGGGGCTTGGAACTAGATGATTTTAAGGTCCTTTCCAACCCAAACCATTCTATGATTTCAGGGTGTAGGGGCTGAGTGGGGCAAAAGAGACCCCCACACACCATGGCTGTGTCAGGGAGGCTTTATTCCTCCCCCAAAGTGTGGATGTGAGAGAATGGGAGACATGGAGAAAGCTCCAGCATGGGGGTGAGCCCCCCCATGCCTGCGGGTAAGGCCCTGACGCTCACACTGGCTCTGGTGCCCAAGTGTCATCCCTGTGGGTCTTATCCCCACCACCTCACAGCATGGGTGGGCTTGCTGGGGGCATCAGAGCTGTTTCCTGCCCTGGTGTGTTCGGGCCACAAGCAGTGATCCCAGATAGGTAGCAGGGGTGGTGCAGGGTTCTGAGGTGCAGCCAGTCTCAATCCCGTTCCTTCTTCTTCCTGCAGCACTCCCAGCAGCTGAAGCGTGCAGCATGGCTGGCCCCAGCTCCTCACCGCTTCAACTCCAGCCTGCCTGTGAATATCGGGGTGCTCTTTGTGCCGCAGCAAGAGGCTTGGGTGGTGGAGAGGATGGGCAAGTTCCACCGAATCCTTGAGCCTGTAAGGAGACGCTTTTCTCCCCTTCTGGATTCTGCAGGTTCCTAAAGCTGTAGCGAGGCACGTCCTTAGTGTGAGAATTCGGGCGGTGGCAAGCTTCTTCTTCCAGATCTGTCTGTAGACTTATTTCCTTTGGTGGGTGTTGAAAGCACTGAGAAACCTGAATTCCCCCCCACGTGTGAAGCATGTTTACTCCACCTGCAGTATCTGCAGCTTGTAGCATACTTAGACTTCGTTTGCACAGCTAGTCTGACTGAACTCTTTTGAGGGAATAAAAAGAACAAGTTAGAGGGCTCAGCCATCTAATCCCACCCTTTTCCCAGGGTTTGAACTTCCTCATCCCTCTGCTGGATCGGATTCGTTACGTGCAGAGTCTCAAAGAAATCGTCATTAATGTCCCAGAGCAGTCAGCTGTCACCCTAGGTAAGGAACAGCTTCTGTGTCCTGCCCCTTCCTTGCTGCTGCGTCTGGGGCGAGCAGGGGACAGTGTGGGGACAAGTGGGAGTGTCCCAGGCTCCTGCACTCAGCCGTGTCCCTGGGTTGGCTATACTGCTGGTGCTGAGCAGGGACCAAGAGTATAGCCAACTGCAGCATAGCAGGACCCAGGAGGTCCTGACTGCCTTTTTGGGCTGCAGCTGCCTGTTCATGCTGGGTTGAATGTACCTAAAGCAGCAGTCTGTCTTTCAGATGTTTTCCTGCTTTGCACCATAAAAGTCCCTCTTTGTTTCTGAACACCCCCCCCCCCCAAAAAAAAAAAAAAATTTCTAATTAGGTTAATGGGCAGTTGTTAAAATTCTAGTGTTAAGGTTTGGCTTGTTTACTCCTCTCTATTTATGAAGGTAACTAGAGCATGAAATGTTTTGCTCTGGAAACCTGAGACTTCTTGTGTATTGGAACAGTCAATATACAGCGTTTTCTGAGGAACGTCTGTTTTGCAAAGCCTATTAGATTAGGAGATGCATTCAGCCAGTCCCTTTTCCGTGCCTCGCTCCTCGCACCAGGAAAGGAAGGGATGACCCTGTCCAGCTCTGCTGGTTCTGCTGAGGGAGAGGGCCTTGTCTTTGCTGCTGCAGTAAACAGGATCTCTTGTTCTCTCCTGGCAGATAACGTCACCCTCCAGATCGATGGTGTGCTCTATTTGCGGGTTATGGACCCCTACAAGGTACTGCCAAACTTGCAGCCTCTGGGCTGTGCTCCACATGGTTTGTGTGTGATGTGCTGCTCAAATGGCTTGTCCCCTCAGCACGCACCTCACCCTCTGCCTGGCTTGGTGTGCCCCGTGAGGCAGGTGGGATGAGCACCCAGATCACTCCTGTGGCTCCAGACTCTGCTTTTCTTTGGCAGGAGTGTCTGTGGCAGGTTTCTTGTTTTCCCATCCTGCCTTGTTCAGAGGGTTCCTTCTCAGCACTGCCCTTGACTCTGTTTTTTCCTCCTGCTCTCCAGGCCAGCTATGGGGTGGAAGATCCCGAGTATGCGGTGACCCAGCTGGCCCAGACCACCATGAGATCTGAACTTGGCAAACTCTCCCTCGACAGAGTCTTCCGGGTGAGCTGGGGAGGTGGATCACGAAGCAGCCTCTCCCTCAGCCCCAGGGCAGGCTGATGGGCTTAACAGCAAAACGCCCTTTGCTTAGAGGGCTTCTGGCTTCTGTTTCAGTTGACCTATCAGTGAATCCTTCAACATGGGTCCTGTTTCGGTTATTTTTTTTTAACAGGAGCTATTTTTTACCCTGCCCTGGGTTAATTGGAAAGGCTGATGGGGGTGGCATGTGCCCAGACCCAGCTGGTCCAGCTGTGTTTCTCTTGAGTCAGTGACACTTTGTTCAGGCCCAGGATGAATGTCCTGGCTGACCTGGGTTACAGGGGCTGTAACCCTCATGC